AAACCCCTAAAACCCTAAACCCCCACACCCTAAGTCAGGATCCTTGCTTGCAACCCGAACAGCCGCGAGGCTCGATGGCAAGCCCGGGGCCTGGCGGAGCTCCTGGTCCTTCCGGTCTTGCTCCTCCTTGGCCTCCGGGTTTAGGGTTTGGGGTTTAGGGTTTGGGGCTTAGGGCTTAGGGCTTAGGGTTTAGGGTTTAGGGTTTAGGGTAGGGAGACAGTTTTGTGTCGACCTAGAAGACAAGCAAAGAAGCAAAGAGATCAGAGCAGGATATCTCAAGAGAAGGCCTTGACCTGCGTCTCCACGTGTTTTGCCAAGGCATTGTCCAGACTGCAATCCCCCGAGCAGTCGATGCACTGCCAGCGGAGCCGCGACCTCGTTGCGAAGGCTTCCGGGCTCCAGTTCGTCATTGACTTGGCCCAAGAGGGCAGGCGGGCGAGAAGCCGCTTCTGCAGCGCTGAGCTGGTCTTGTCGCATGTGCCCATGAGGTCCACAACCATCACTTTCGGAGACCAGAACCCGAGCCCCCAGGCTGCGAGCCCCACTGTCGGGATTTCATGCGTGGACAGCACGGACTGCGACAAGTTCCGCTCCCCTGTGACCTGCTTGTTGACCAGTGCGATGACCGTTCCTTGTGCCCGGTCGCGCATCCCGAGCACGAAGCTCATGCTTGCGATTGACCACATGTTTGCTGCCAGTTCTCTGGTCTGGGCATCTTCGTAGCAGGCGCTGAGGTCCTGGCTCGCTTCAATGGCTCGTCCCAAGAAGGTGTTGGGGTGCAAGGGCGCGTGCTCAATTTCCTTGGCAAAGTTGGAGAGCGCTGTCTGTGTGGTCCGGTTCTCGGGATCACCGTCCCAGAAGCCAGCCCAAAGCAGCGCATGCTGAAGAGTCTTGGTCAGGTCCACTAGCCAGCTTCTCAGAAAGGACAGTGCTTGATATCGACGGAGCGTCTTGCTGTCCACATCGAAGGAGGCCACAGCATCTCTCGAGACGCGGAGGGTTTCCACCAGTTCGTTTCCCAAGGCGAAAATGTCGCTGACACTCTCGGCACAGGTCTTGTCCGGGAGGACCGGGTCGGAGTAGTCGAGAAGCCAGTCGGCCTTCGGACGCGAGGACTCGCATGCAAACATCAGGTTGTTCATCAAGAGCCCGAGCTGCTGATGGCAAGCGCCTGCGCTGGCACTCTGCCAATCCTTCATGATGATGGCAACCTGCTCCCTGAGCATCCGCTCCTGTGCTTCTGCATCGCCTGCGGTCTCC